CCCCCCGCCCAAAGCAAGGCAACCCACCGTCCCAGCGGAGCCTGGAGTGGGTCACCGCCACTGGATTTTCCCAGGAGTCACCTCCACCACTATCTCTACCAACAGCCTTCAGAGGCCAGGTGAGGCATATTAGTCTCTAGCAGCATCCCTGCCCCCTCTCTCCCCAGTCAAGTGCCTTTACACAGTGCCAGTTTTATAACAAAATGGGGACGTTTTTCATTATAAATAAAGGTAGTTTGCACAGAAATTGACTTCCGTCTCTGAACTCTGTTCTGACTTAATAATTCTCCTCATTGTTACTATTTTTGGTAAACCAGTCTTAAAGTAGCCCCTTTGGAAGGGATTTCCCTCGTGTGAATCCAATCCTTCCTCTTTCAAATATGCCTGCTTTTTTTTTTTTTTTCTGTAGTGTCTTGACCTTTTCTTCATGTTTTGGATTCTTCTTTTTAAGCGTCCTTAAGCTTAAAGACGTAAAATGTCTGATAATTCTATCATCTGAAGTTTGGTGCCATCTCCTCCTGTAATTTGGTGAGTCCGCTGGCTCTCACTCACGGTGGCTTGTCTCCTCATGTGTATTGAAATTATGGATTGTGAGATCACCCTCAACGGGGCTTTATCTACTGGAAATCCATGTGGACTTTTTGAGGGTCTGACCCTGAAGAGCGATTTTCCTTCACTTCTTCCCCACTTTTTTATTTCATAAACTGCCCCTTGAAGATTTTTGACAAATCAGAAGCCTTTCTCTCTTCTGATACGTTATTTCTTTACAAATCATAAAACTTCAACATAGTCATTGTCTGCAGTGTCCAAAACAACTCACGTGGGAATTTTAATTATTTTTAATGAATTTAAATTAAATAAAAATTAAGGATTCAATTCCTCAGTCACACTAGCCACTTTACAAGTGCTCAGGAGCTACATGAGGCTAGTGGCTACCATTTTGGACAGTGCAGATAGAGAACATTTTCATCATCCCAGAAGGTTCTATTGAGTAAAGCTGATATACATTTCCATCATCCAGAGGTTCCATTGTGCCTCCTCGCAGTCAATATATGCATGTCTCCTCCCCATAAGGGGTAGCCACTTCTATCACTGCCGGTTAATTTTCACGAATACACTTTAAAAATCAAATGGTACTGGTACTAAGATATTTGTGATGAAGAAAAACAGTCCTCCTGCTACCTCTCCCTACTCCCATCTGCTTTCCAGAGGCCACCACTTTCAACCGCTATAGCTGTTTCCTCTGCTATTTTCTTGTATGTTTCTAAATATGCTGGCATTGCTATTTCTTGATTTCTCAATTTTAGACATTCTCTACTGATATCCTGGTATAGTAGATGAGGTTTGAGGTCTATTAATCTGACTCTACTTTCCCTCTCCTCAATGAAATCATAATTTTTATATCAATCAATAGTTTTTTAAATGTTGTGATATGTAAATATGTTTTCACTGCAGAGCCATGCAGTATATTAGAATTTTCTCTTCAAAACCTCTAAATTTTTGAGAATTAAATTTACCTTTGTCACTTGCTTAATTTTTGTTTGTTTGTTTGTTTGTTTTTTGCGGTACGCGGCCCTCTCACTGCCGTGGCCTCCCCCGCCGCGGAGCACAGGCTCTGGACTCGCAGGCCCAGCGGCCACGGCCCACGGGCCCAGCCGCTCCGCGGCACACGGGATCCTCGCGGACCGGGACACGAACCCGCGTCCCCCGCAGCGGCAGGCAGACTCCCAACCACTGCGCCACCAGGGAAGCCCCACTTGCTTAATTTTATTTGCACCTATACTTAATATTTTTCAAATGTTCCATGGAATCGTCCGTATTACTAACAGCTCACTCAAGCTTTTTTTCCTCCCTCCTAAAGTCCTCTCTCCTACTTGAATGTGGACTCGATGCTTTCTAGGCCTACACTAAGCTATCATGGACTTCCCGGTGTTGGATATTGTTTCCTGGATTCCATGTGTATCTTTCTTTGTTGACCCTTCACTTTGCCGGAGCACATGCTCCAGTCGTTCCCTTAAAAGGGAGAGGAAGAGATAAAGATTTTTGAGTTCTTGCATGGCTTAATATATCTTCATTTTATCCTCCAACTTTATTATGGTTTGGCTGGGTATAGAATTCTCGGTTGGAAATATATGTATCCCTTGTCACTCAAATCTATTTTCTTCCTAAGTTGGAATGCAAGTTTGGATAACAAGGAAACCTGTTTGGTTTTTTTTTCTCCCCTCAGATTTGTTTTCATTCTCCCTCTGCTTTGAACTTGTATTTGACTTGCTTTATTCTGGAAGCTTTTGGGATCTTCTCTCATTCTCTGGTTCTGAAATTTCATGAGGATATGCCTCACTGTAGCTTTTATTCATTAATTATTCTGACCCTAAGTCTGTCCTTTCAATCTGGAGACTCATAGCCTTTGGTTCTGGGAAATTTTCTTGTATATTTATGTGTTGGTTTGTCTGTGTGTGTGTGTGTGTGTGTGTGTGTGTGTGTGTGTGTGTGTTGGTTTCTTCACTTGCTCTCTTTTTCTGGAATTTTTATTATTTGGATGTTGAATATTCTGGTTTGAGCTTTCAGTGTTCTTATCTTTTCACCACTATTTTCCATCTCTGTTAATTTTCCTCTTTCTAGGAAATTTCCTTGACTCTATCTTCTAATCCTTTTATTAAAATTTATGTTTCATCTATTATTTTGAATTCCCAAGAACTCTTTCTTGTTATTTAATTATTCATTTTTCATGGTCTCCAGTTCCTATTTTATAAATGTGATATCATCTATTATCTTGCTAGGTATTTTTTTATAGTGTTTTAGTTACAGGTGTTTTTGTGTTTGTTTTGTAGCTTTCTTTTTATTCCTGTGTAATCTTTGTTTCTTCTGGGCTTCTTTATTTTGTATGTGTTTACACTAGTCTGATCTCTCTTTTGCATAACAGAGATATGTTCATTTCCCATTACTGCTATAACAAATTATCACAAACTTAGTAGGTTAAATAACACAAATTTATTGTCTTTTAATTCTAGGGGTCAGAAGTCTGAAACAGGTCTCAGTGGGCTAAAGTCAAGGTGTCGTCAGGGCCATGTTCTACTGGGGGGAATCTGTTTGCTTACCATTTCCAGTTTCTAGAGGTTGCCTATATTTCTACCAACAGTCTGTTTATGATGATTTAGTGTTCTCTAAGATTATAGAGATTTACTCTACCTTACTCCTCACTTCCTTCTGAGTCCTCACCAGCAGAATTGCTAACACCCATATTTCTACAAATGGTCTGCAAGGCTACCTAGGCTTTTCCCATCATCTTCTCAACATTCTTCCAGCCTCTGCCCATTGTCCAATTCCAAATCCACTTCCACATTTTTAGGTATTTGTTACAGCAGCACCCCACTTCCAGTACCAAAATCTGCACTAGCTTCCCTTCGCTGCTTGTAACAAATTGTCACAAACTTGGAGGCTTAAACAATACAAATTTATTATCTTACCATCTGGAGGTCAGACATCTGAAATGGGTCTCACTGAACTAAAATCCAGGTGTCAGCAGGGCTGTTCCTTGCTGGAGACTATGGGAAAGAAGCCCTTGCCTTGCCTTTTCTAGTTTCTAGAAGCTGGCTGTATTCCTTGGTTCATGGCCCCCTTCTGTCTTCAAAGCCAGCTCTTGCATCACTTCCATCTCATACTTCCATTGTCACAGCTTTCTCTCTTGACTCTGACCCTCCTGGCTCCCTCTTTCACTATGGCTACACTGGACCCATCCAGATAATCCAGGATAATCTCCCCATCTCAGAATCTTTAACTTAGTCACATTTGCAAAGTCCTTTTTGCCACATAAGGTAGCAAAGGAGAACAAGTAAACAAGGAGACAGGGCTTCCCTGGTGGCGCAGTGGTTAAGAATCCACCTGCCAATACAGGGGACACGGGTTCGAGCCCTGGTCTGGGAAGATCCCACATGCCGCGGAGCAACTAAACCCGTGCGCCACAACTACTGAGCCTGCGCTCTAGAGCCTGTGAGCCACAACTACTGAAGCCCGCACACCTAGAGCCCGTGCTCCACAACAAGAGAAGCCACCGCAATGAGAAGCCCGCGCACCACAACAGAGGGGCCCCCGCTCACCGCAACTAGAGAAAGCCCGCGTGCAGCAACGAAGACCCAACGCAGCCAAATAAATAAATAAATAAAATTTAAAAACAAAACAAACAAACAACAAAAAAAAACCCAAGCAGGGCTTCTCTGGTGGCGCAGTGGTTGAGAGTCCGCCTGCCGATGCGGGGGACGCGGGTTCGTGCCCCGGTCCGGGAAGATCCCACATGCCGCGGAGCGGCTGGGCCTGTGAGCCATGGCTGCTGAGCCTGCGCATCCGGAGCCTGTGCTTCGCAAAG